GGGGATATTTGTGGATGCACGTGCACACACTCAAATCACAGATTCCTCAGAGGGTATCTTAAAATACACCCCGTGCTCACTGCTACGTCCTTCACGACTCATGTTTTGTTTCTGTCAGTTCTACCTCAGCTGTTCGGTCGTGAGCGTTCCACTGCTCTTTTTGTTTCCCCTCTTTGTCTGAACAGCTTTTATTGCCATCATCTGTCTTTTCTCAATATCAAACTGCATGCCTCTTTTTTTAAATTTAGCAAGACTTCAGCTTTTTTAAATGAAAAAAAAAATGTAGGGATGCACGATATATCTGCATTAATATCGGTATCAGTCCGATATGTCAAACTGGGCCGATATTAACATCCAATATTGATTTCCCAATTTTTAGCTTTAGTTTCTGTTTTGKGAGGGGAGATGGTTGGTTGAGCAGCATCTGTTTGATCATGATAATGATATTGATGCTGCACAACCAGGAATAACTGAAGTAGGGAGCCATGTCAGAGGTCTGGTCGTTTATTTACGGTGACAAAAAAAGACCCAGGTGTGTTGGTGCGTATATGTATAATATAATGTGTGTGTTTGTGTAATATTGGTAAACATCGGTTATCGGCCATAACAACAATAATTATATCGGATATCTATATCGGCTGAAATTTTCATATCGGTGCATCCCTAAAAAATGTCCTGACTGTGAAAACTGCAGGATGTTTAGTATGATTGTAACACATTTATTTGAGGAGCTTGATTTGTTGCTTTTGATAAGTTAACTTTAGTTTCTCATTACTTTTGATTCCCATGGGTCTATATGAAGTTTGTGTTGCATGTGTGGTGTGTGTCTGTGTATGTGAGTGCTGTCTGTGTGTGACAGTTAGATGATGAATGCCCTGGAGGTAGAGGGGTCAGTGTCACAGACAGTGTTGTCAATTGCACCTCGTCCCTTGAGTCTAACCTTGAGCAAAGCTCCCTTAAGAGAACTCARTCTGCTATTAAGGCCATTTCATGCTCTCTCTCTGTCTCTCTGTCTCACTCTCTCACTCTATCTCACATGCACACACACATCCACACACAGTTCCTTGTTGAGCATGTGCCATTAGCAGCTGGCAGGACCTGGTTTGACAGAGAGCGATTAGCTCCCTATCATGTGTATTGATCAGCGTGTCCTCGCTGGTTCTCCTGAGGAGGGATTGGGGGGCTTTAACAAGGCATTTGGGACACACGCCTACATTGATGTCTGCACACACACAGACACACACACTCAAATGAATCCCTGTGTATGTGAATGCCCACAGAAGTTTTGTGTGCATTTTGTATTTGGACTATCGACTGTTAATAAATTACTAGACATCCAACTTGAACAAAGAAGTTCAAATTGGATCAAACCATCAAAATCCACATCAAATATTTTCTTTTTCCAGGTGTTGACTTTTGTTGATCGGACATTTCTTACCTTCCTGCTGTTTGTTCAAATATTTATTCATACCAGTCCTTTTGTGATTGTCTGTATATCGTTCCTGTCCCCCCAAACCCAGCCAGTCGAGGCAGATGGCCGCCTGTCCTGAGCCTGGTTCTGATTCTGATTCTACTGGAGGTTTCTTCCTGTTAAAAGGGAGTTTTTCCTCTCCACTGTCACCACTGTGACGAAGTGAAGATTCAACACAATCTGCTGGCTTTTTTAGATTTATTTGGCCTCATGCAAGAACATGTTTGTATTCTTATCCTAAATTTCTCTTACTTTTGTTCGTACAAAGGGTTCGTACGAACATGTCACGTCAGATTCAACAAACTCTTCTATCTTCATGAAAAGTGAGCTGCGTAAACTGATGAATGCATATCCAGCTGCTTGTGCACGAGGAG